TATGGCCAGATTGCTAGGACAACAGAAAGACGTTTCATATATAAAACAACTACCAGTATTATGTACTAGCTTTTGAATTGGATAAAAATTATGACACAGAACCAAATTCTTTTAAACACAACTGTAATATTTATGTTTAAGACTACATTTGAACTACTGGCGTTCTCAGAACACATAGTAAGAATCTAGGGGATTTTGTTGCTCTCTGAAAAACAGAATAACAAATTTGGAGGGGACCTTGGAGGTCTTCTAGTCCAACACCCTTCTCAAGCACAGACCATATACCATTCCAGACAAGTGGCTGTCCAGTCTCTTCTGAAAGACCTGTGATGAAGCACCCACAACTTCTGCATGCAAGTCGTTCCACTCCGTAATTGTTTTCAATGTTAGGAAATTTCTTCTTAGTTCTAGATTGCTCCTCTCCTTCATTAATTTCCATCCATTATTTCTTGTCTTGCCTTCTGGTGCTTTGAAAAATAACTTGACTGACCTCTTCTTTGTGGCAGATCCTCAAATATTGGGACACTGCTATCATGTCACCTCTAGTCCTTCTTTTCACTAGACTAAATAAATGCAATTCCTGAAGAAGGATTAAAGCACAGGGGACTGGTAAAGCCCAAAAACAATGGCAAACAATGCTTTATTTTTGAAAAAATATTTATTCACTACATTTTTATATATCTCATCTCAGCCAAGTGAGTGTTGCCTATAATGTTGTCAAGAAAACTGTAGGGAGGTGTTGTCATTAACAAGCGAAATTTAAATTCTCCGCTTAGCATACTTCACTAATGAAAAACAATGCTCCTGAAAACCAACGGACGTTTAGTTGTAAAACTATCTACTATTCCTCTTTATTTTTATTTATTTATTTTGCTACGCCAGGGATTCCTATAGCCGTCTCGCCCTCGCCCTCCCCGCCGTCGAGCTAAGGAAAGGAGGAACGGGGGCGGAGTAGTCTGATCTGTTATCCTATAGAGAAACGGGAGCTGCGGTAGAATTAAAGCAACCCCTCTACTGTTGCAGCCGGCATCTGTGCCGCTTTCGGAGAGCGCCATCCTTACCGTTGCAACCATCTCTCTCTCCCTCCCGTATCTCGGCGTTGTAATGTAAGGTGGGGGTCGCGATTTCCTCGACGCGTCTAGAAATGAACTTAGAAGAGCTATCGGTGTACTTGGAAAGTAAGGAGGGCCTGTTGGCCTCGGGGATCGGCTGGTCTCTGGTACTGTGCTTTGGAGCAGCGTATGTCTGCTATTATCTCAGGATGATCGCCAAGGTAAGGAAGGCTTTCTGTTCTCTCGCCGCCTTTTAAAAGTGGTCCGGGAAACCCACCTGATGGCGGACAGAAAGCGGGTCAGTCAGGTCAAACGCCTCTCGTCGCCAGGCTCTGACCCATTTCGAAAGAGACACGTTAAGTTATCCATAATTAACCTTATAAGCTAGGCCTTGAGGGCAGCAAACGGTTGGGATTTCGGCGTCTGAGAAAGCCGGGCGCTTTAGGAGAGAGAAAGCAAGGGGCGAGATTTCCCCTTCCACATTTTAAATGAATAAAACGAAAATCGGCTTGATTTTTTTTGAGGGGGGAGAGGTGTTGTTTTTCCTGTGTAACCTGGTGATTGCGCAGGACACACTGCAGAGGAACCCGGTGCCAGGGGAGAGCAAACGACCACGCATACAGGAAAATCTAGGCTAAGGACTGAAATAAATGGAATGCATTGTTCTTTCTTACTACAGCATTAACACTTTGAAATAAGGCCCCTAATTCATTGGTCTTTTCCGCAAATACAATTCAGATGGTATTTTTTTTGGGGGGGGGGGACGACTTCCAGAATTTTAGCCAGAGGAAATGGCAGCAGTTTTATTCAGAGTACACTAGACAGGACAGCTTAAAAACTGTGTTCTTTGTGTGACATACAGCTCTGCTATTCCTATGTAGCAAGCCAAAGGAATAAATTTGTATTCATAGTAATATTACCCTCTTTGCCACTTTTAGCTATTCTCAACTCTTTTGCTAGGCAAGGTTGTGTGAATGACTTATTAGCTAAATAAGTCTTAATGAAATCATGGTCAAAAATATTTGAATGTGCTTATCCTCATAATAAATGTGGGCAGCATACAGTTAAAAAAACAATCCCATTACAATAAAAGAGAAAAAGAAGGTGATTGCCTGCAGGCCAGTGAAGCCAG